GACCCGTTTGCTGTCGTTCCGGCACTTCACTTCAAAGTACGTTTCAAGACACGTTTTGTCATTGTCTATTTACCGTCATCACCTGAAGTTCTTAACAGAACTTGAACCCAGAATCGCCCAAATTAGTTATATAGGAGGTGGTTGAAATTCGTAGGGCTGTTCCCTGTTAAACGACCAAAGTCTGCCTCAAATTATGCTTATCGTACGGGTCGCTGACCGGAGTGGACGTTGTCAAGTCGATCAATGTGTAGCATTGCAATGACTATGCAGTGACTTATTCTCTCTAAGTATACTCTATAAATACTTTGGTGTCAGAAGTGTATCACAGAGCATTTGAGCAGGAAGGCGTTACTTCATAATATTTGTCACTGTTTTGTTGTATTTAACATGAATCTCTTTTGCAGGACCTCAAGCAGAGGTACGGTGATCCGATAGTTGTTGTAAACCTGGTGAAGAGACGGGAGAAGTTGCGTCGAGAACACCTGTTGAACGACGAATTTCGAAGCGCCGTCAGCTACTTGAACCAGTTCGTTGGACCGAGGCAGCGAATACTGTATTTGAGTTTCGACCTGGCGCGTTGTCACAAACGAGGTGATGCGTTGGCGAAACTGGAGGAGATAGCGCACAGTATCGTGGATTTGAACGGCTGGTTTCAGAGCTTCCCATCGTCGCCTTGTCTTCCTCGCCGACCATCGAGGTTGTGCACTTGCAGCCAATGTAGCAATAACAAGTTCGCCTTGCAACACGGCGTCTCTCGGACCAACTGCGTCGACTGTCTGGATCGCACGAACGTCGCCCAGTTCGTCGTTGGCAAAGTGGCTTTAGCCTACCAGTTGTTAACTTTAGGTGAGCGAGTTACTCCATCCATTACCTCAATTTTTCTGTTCTACGTACTCTCTAAAATGGTTGTTCCCCGTATCTTACACGTTGCCTCAGAATCCTGTACCATGAATTGTGCGCAGCCTTATGTTCTTCGTCCTTCATAGGGTACGGTAACGATAAAAAAATTCTCTCATTTCTAACAAGCAGCATATCTCATAGGCGCTCTGCCTCATCCATCATCATGGCCAATTAGACAGTCTATGTCCTTACCGTACAGGCGCATAGTGATCCATATCTCACCACGTATACTATGCAATATGCGGTGTGGACACAGCTGAAGGTAGTTCACTGTGATGTCGCAATCTACACTTGAACCTCATTGACCTTCACTGAATGCGGTGTGCATCGTGTTGCACCGCAGTGCGGTTCAGGTGACTAGAAGCAAAGGTGTAGTGCAATTTTGTGGTACAAGTCGGTGTAAAAACTTCTATCGGTCTTACACTGCTACCGCAACATCGATTTAAAGCTATCAGAGTAAAGTAAAGGAAAAATCTGCTTTCTTTAAAAACATAGTTCACCGTGTAAATCCAGTGTAAGTATTTGAAATGTGGCATTTTCTGGCGATATTGAAAGCTCCTATTCGTGGAAGCTGCCCAGTGCGTCTGGGTTATATTTTACTTTATTTTGTTTAAATACTTTACGGTAAATATTTTGTGCTACACCTTACGTGAGAGCAAATCTCCATATTATTCGAATTTCATACTGCGGCTACAGGTAATTTAAAATGGTTAGGAATTCAAGAACTAGGATTATGCCATATACATTGATTTTCATCTACCTCCGGATAAGCGCAATGACAGGATAAGTAACAAGTGTGTAAGTTATGAGGTAAAGCCTTTATTATCTGTTTTAAGTGCAAGCGGCATGATGATTATTCCCTATGTGGTCTTGCCTGATTATTATGCCATCAGTGAGGTTAAGTTATGCATTGAGTACGACGTCGCCCATCAACCACTATATTGTCTTCATATCGGAATTGATTCAGGGTTCAGACCTTTTACTAACTTTTCTCTAGACAGTCCTCGTTCCTTTCTGTAACCTATAAAAAATAGCGTATTTTCAGCTCCGGTAATTTTTTCACGGGGTTAACGTTGAGGTCAATCAGAGGTTATCATAAAGCCAGTCAGGCCTGCCTAAGTTAATCAGGGGGTTGTAACAAAATCTCGAATGCTTGGATGAATTTGCGATCCGGCTTTCGTATCCACAACTTGCAGTCGACCAATTTTGAGATTTGACAAGTTTGGTGAAATTTTTTTATGCTATGCGCTTTTTCAGTTGCGTTTTCACACCGTATTACGCATGAGAAGCATACAATTAACATTTTTGGGTATCCTTCGCCTCCGGGTTTTTTTGATTGCAGTTTTTCTTTCATATTGTTTGCTTCACCAGTGTTTCGCGTCTGCCGTTTGGTTGAGTCTGCCATCTGATAGATGGCAATGGTTAATACATGCTTGCAAAGTTCTTGAACAGATCTCATTCTTGATTCAGGCAAATAAAAGCATTTTAGTGACCTCGAAAGACATAGGCAGTTGAAATGAAATAGTGCTAACTGTAGGTGCCAAGCACTGTAACTACCGTATCCACTATTCTTGAAGGTAGTCGAATTTGCTGAGAGAAATGATTTTGCTTAAGTTAATTAACCATATATTGATTGATTTGATTTTTCGTGGAACTGTCACCCTCGTCTTAGCTACTAACTGCTCTGCTGACATGTTGGCACAGTTGTCTAAGAAGTCTACTTTTAACTTATAACACTGGAGGCGCTGGCTTTGATTCCTCTCCAGGGCAATCATTATCTTATTCACCCTATAAGCAAGGAATTTCCCACTGATTGTTTCGCACTGGGTTGTTTAGTCGGTAGATGTTGAACTCGGAAGCGACGCGTCCCAAGTTAAAGCCCCAGTTTGTGTCACTCGCCCTTCTTTCTTCCGAGGTTGACATATAAATGCCATTCTGTGCAAAGGAAAGAATGGGCTACAGGCTACGCTTGCCACATAGCTGTAGAATGTGCCTTTAAAAAGAACAAGCCACTGAGATTAGCACCGCACCGTCGACTCCCTGTCGTGAAAGTGAACGAAGACAACAACATTCCAATAGTGACAAACTTTCCTTTTCTTTCCTTTTCCTTTTGCTAATAGATTCGAATTCAACCGTATTTATAGGCATTACCGAAGGGCTGGGTCGGAAACTGGACACCGATATTTGTCATCTTTTAGAAGCTGCATACGATGAGCACGGCGACACGCTTGCATTACAATACGCCGGTTCTCAATTGGTTCATAGCATCAAAACTTACAAGAAGACGTCTATGCTGCAGGAACGTAGTCGAGACGTCATCCAGACGTTGTCTCGCTATTACAGTAATACTTTTGCGGATTACGATAAGCAGAATGCGATCAATCTGTTTTTGGGCGTGTTTCGCCCCGGTGCTGAAGGGGGTCTTTCATTATGGGAGCTGCCGACGCCGACCACAGAGGCGTTCGTTGAGCCGGCTGATGTTGACTACTGTGCCTGGTTCGAAACTGCGAACGACAGCAATGGAGAACCTGCCGCTACTGCTTCTGCTGCTGTACCGTACGATTGCGATGTAGAGCAGATGAGTTTGGGTGAATGCAGTGAATGTTGCGACGCATCTTTCAAATACTTTTATCAAACAAGCGACCTGACGGTGTTCGATGACGTTCTTGGACGCAGTAGGTTAGACTCGATTTCATCGGTTGCTGGCAAAAACGACACCACCAGTCTATCTCTTTGGTGGAAGAAGCAAATGAAGACCATCATAGACGAAACCAGCAAAACTGCCGGTAATTGATTGTTTTATTTTTATTTGTTTGATTAATTTACAAGTTTATATATTCAAAATAAACCAAAATGTATAGTCAGAAAATTATATTAATTTCAGACAAATTAAGAAACAATTCATACTTAGGAAAACTAAAATCGAAGATTATTTTTTTCACTGTATCATCTAATGGAC